CTTTTTTTTTTAGGTAAGCAAACCAAAATTATGCACAATACACCAGGTATGAGCTCACCAAAGCCCTGCAGAGCTGCAGTTAGACTTCCTTGCTCCTATTGTCAAACCCTCTTGCCAGTTGCCTTCCTAACTGCTTGCAGCACCTTCATGCTTACGTTCAATGACTGGTCCCTTGTGTAAATCAACTGTTCTCATTCTGTCAGGATTTAAATAATATGCTGTCATTCTGTCTTTCCTATCAAAGTGAACAACTTCAGATTTATCTAAATTAAACTGCATCTGCCATGTGTTTGCCTACTCACTCAACTTGTCTAAATTTCTGTGAAACCTCTTTATTCCTCCTAACCACTCTCTCACATTCAAACCAATTATCCTCCAGTGATTGGATTATAAATAATTGAATCTCTAACAGAACATTGACTTTGTTTTGAGCTTTTACCAACTGATACTTTTCCTTGGCACCATTTCAACCTTTTATTCCATTTGTTTTCCCACATAGATGTCCTAGAAAACAGCCATTAGCCATTGGGTAACTGTTGCCATAAATATGAATCTTCGCTTTTGAACAGTCCTTGAATGCATTATCACTCACTTCTTGTCAGAGCATGGGCTCACCTTGCAGTTCATCGACCTGTCACTCAAAATGATGGTTCAGTGTAGATCAGCACTGTTTCTCCCTTTAGCTTTCCCATTATTTGCACACATCTATTGGAAAATCTTTTTGCATAATTTCTTTGATCAGCAGTCCAAAATACACATCAAAAACTATTATAATGCTATTGATATTTTTAATCACTCTTTTCAGATGTTATTATACATCTTTAGAGCAGGTGGGATTCAAAGCTGAGCATCCTGGTCCCAAGGTAGGGTGCTCCCACTACACCACAGGAGCCCTACTAACTGTACACTTAATTGAAATTGAGATCTTGTCATTAAAGAAGAGGAAGAATTAAAATGCCTTTCACCCCTCTTCCAGCGTGGTTCAAAAGTACCAAAGTACTCCAGGTTGAAGTTGGTAATCACTAGGATTTCTAGCTTTTGCTTGAATCAATAAGCAAGTTGGTTCTTCTTGTTTACCTCCAATCGGATCCAATTCAGAGTCACGCAATGCCATGATAATGGGTTTCAGACACACACTGGTGTGCCTCACTGTTGAGCTGAGTCTTTAAAGTGGAGATTAAAGCATACTGGTTTTCCAAGGAGAGTTTGTCAAGGTTGTATCATCTGTGAAAATATTTGTATAAGCATATTTCCCCCTTCTGCTCCTAGTCCCAATTTGCAAGTTACCTTTCAAGTGAAAGATCTTATTTTTCCTGGGCGGTACTATTTCATGAAGAACTTGGGAAAGAAAAACTAAATTGGGATCAAAATTTCCAGTTTTAACCAGCAATTTTTTTTTTGTGGGGGAATGGGGTAACTTTATGTTTAATTTTTAAAGTAATAAACCACTTGTGGTATTAACATAAGTCAGTCTTCAAGTTCAAACATTTTATTGTATATTGGCTTGACTAGTACTGGCAGATCATGTTGCGATATGGTGGATATGCTGCTTTGCATGTAAACTTGCGGTAACATTAAAGCCATTACTTCTATTACTTAGTCTGAAAAGCTGTTCTTTAAATTATATGACTTTACTTCCTCCTTAGGGCAACTCCTGTGTTTATAGTTTGTTTCGTAATTCAGTTCGCTATCTTGTTTACAAATATTCTGCAGTGTTTGCATCTTACTTCTAGGTGGATTTGGAAATGAAGTTTATGCTGCTTTTTCTGTTCTTTTGTGTACTAAAATGATCTTTAAATATACTGGTTAACGCCTGCATTACTGAGTGCTTCCCTCTGGGCTAATCCTAACAAATCAAACTTGGCAATTTAAGTTTATCCCATCTGTGCTTAATATTTCCTTTTAAGTACACAAGATTGCAGAACACCAATATAGTACACGTTGAAATGCCAAATTAATCAGCTGTTTGTACTAAATAGCTTGTAGTGATGGGTATAAATCTTATTAATTATGGCACTCTATCTACCACCCCATAGTGATATTAGAGTACCAGTTATGATGTCTGTTGAATAAGACATTAGACATGATCACAAATTTTGGTTGTGTAGAAGTTATGAGGAAATTGAATGAGGCTCCTTTTTAACACAAGTTTGTGTCTCACCTCTACCATTGCATAAACACAGAAAACATTTAGATTTGTGATCAGCTGGTATATGTGTGCTAGTTAAAGTTGGCGATAGTGAAAGTAATATCTACCTTTTTCTGATGAATAGCACTGCGTTTGGCATGTCGAGTCCGTGCACTAATCCTGGCTTTAGTGACATACCCAAACAATAAAGTCATATTTTCTGACTCTTGGATTGCTATCATATGCTGTTGAGCTTGAAGATTGACTTATGTTAATGTCACAAATGTTCTAATATGTTAAAAATAAACAAACATAAAATTACCCTACTCCTCCACAAAGAAACAAATTTGTTCAAATAAAACCTACATTTAAATTCTAATTTTACATCAAGAAGTGATACTTACTCGAAAGCATGCAATGTGTGACTAAATATATTAATGATGATGATGTTGATGTGGTATACGTGGACTTCAGTAAGGCCTTTGACAAAGTTCCACATAGAAGACTGAATTCCATGGGCTCTTAACCTTTGGACCAAGGCAAATGGGCAAGCTGGATCTAAAATTGGCTTGTGAATAGAAGGCAATGGGTGATGGTAGAGGGTTGTTTTTGTGATTGGAACCCTGTGACCAACCGTGTACCACGGGTTGGTGCTGGGACCCTTGCTGTTTCGTTTTGCACATTAACGACTTGGACGTGAATGTTGAAGTGAGTTTGCAGATGCAAAAATTGGTGGTGGCTTTGATAATGAGGAGGATGGTCTTGGGCTACGGTCTGATGTTGATCAGCTGGTAAATTGGGCAGAGCAACGGCAGATGGAATTTATTCTTGATAAATGTGAGGTGATGCATTTTGGGAGGTTTGGTTAGAGAAGGGTGTACTGAGATGTAATAAATCAATCAGTAGTTTTGTTTGTTGAACCTAATATTGATAAAGTATATAGTTGGCCATATTGATAACTTGGTGAAACATTTAAATGTATATTACGACCAGTGGAGGAAGCTCTTGTGGCACATTGGCAGTGTCCCTACCTCTGGGCCAGAAAGCCTGGTTTCAGTTCTCACCTCACCTGCTCCAGAGGTGTGTCCGATCACACCTGAACAGGTAGATTTTTTTAAAAAAAATTGTGACCAATGCAATGGTTGTACTACAGACAATGCACTCGTACAACTTTCTTAAGTTTTGATTAAGAAGATCTGAGATACTCCCCAAAATAGTTCCTCTTAAAAGAAGATTGAGGCAGGCTGTCGTTCATTAGTCATCCAAATTCTCCTTTACTTTGTGTTTTCTGATCCTTTTTGAGGTAACCTTGAAGTCTCTTCTGGACATTAAAGTATTGTAGCCCATCTTTCTACAATATTGTGCTGTTGACAGATTCAGTTTTAGTGCAGACTATTTGATAACCCAAACTTTGCTTGAAATTTGATGGTGAGCACTGGTATTAAAGCACAAATAAACTGGCAAGTTGAGGGACTAAGAGTGATAGCATGAGTTGCTAATCTCCAGAACAACTTGCACTGCTCCACCATTGCCTCTCACAAACAGGAACTAACACTTAGCTCTTTTGTTATTTTAAGAAATTGTGTATTCATAAATTAATTACCACTGAGTTCATAGCAGAATGTTGTAGTTGTTAGTTAAGAGCATAAGTGCCTTTTTTAAGACTTGATTATTGTCAGAGGGGTGTCAATCAATCTCTCCTATACAGGAAGAGAATGACTTATTGTTCAGTATAATTCTTGCATGTATTAAATTGCTTTTTAAATCTTCCATCTCTTTTGAGCTCTGTCTCTCATTAGAAATAATAATTTCTTTCTGTAAGATATTGACTCCAATTTGCTCTTTTCTACCTCTTCAGTTTATTTATCCTTAAATTGCATTGGATAAGGTAATAGACTGTGTTTTTTCCACTTGCTGTCACAATGTTGTTATCAACATGCCCTTATGACAAATTATGGCGCAAGAATTTTTTTAAGCCAAAGGTTGAAGGAAAAATCATGCATTGAGATTCCTCGTTAAGACATTCCAGTCCTCAAGATCTGGTCCATTATGCTAAATAGTGAAATGTCTTGGCTCCCCAAATGGTGTACTGTGGTTTTTGCATGGTTCATGGTTGAAACCAGGGTCTGTGTAGGGGGGGAATTGTTTCATGTTTATTCATTAGTATTTTAGCATTTAATCTGCTTTTTAGAAGTGTACAATAAAGAAGTTAGTGCCAGATGCACAGTTGTTTTTGACAGCATAGGGAGTTCATTCAAGGGAGTTCCCTACTGTTGTGCAGTGTAAGTGATGACTGACCATATGATGTGGTCCCTTTGGGAGATGAAGTGAATTTGTTTGGTACTGGTTTCCATAGAGTTTGGGTGTAACTACATAACTTTTAGGATACACATTTTTAAAGCAAATTTATCTTCATGATGTCACCCAGTTTTGTTACTGCAGAAAGAAAATTATAGTGAAATTTGTAGTTTCTCTCAAATTGCCCACAGATTAATGCATACAAACTGTACTTGATACTCCGCAAAGAGTTTGCCAGATATTCCCTGAAAAGGATTAACAAAAAAATCATAGATTATTACTAAAGCTTCGTGGTATGTCTGCTTTATTAGAAAATGTAATTGCACGATATATTTTTTCCAGGAATGGTTTTGTTGCTTTGATTTGTATACTGCTTTGTTTGTGACTCCGTTAACTTATCACTGGGTAACATTTCTTCTACTGTTCAACAGTTCAGAAATTCATTTTAGTATGCTTATCTCAGGAATCATTGAATTAAGTCTGAAGAATCCTAATATACTGTACTTTAGCTGTAACTACCCAAAACGAACTTTTGTATCTTATCATGCTTTTTAAACTTTGTTTTTAAATGCAGCTTCATCATGGCCACAGAAGTTAGCTCGAGCACTGCAACAGGAAATCCCCATCAGCAGTCAACTTCTGAGCAACAAGAGCCTCCCAAGTTTGACAAAGCAGAGAACCAGCCAAAGGAGAATCAGCAGCTAACAGATGTAGTGGACAAGCAAACAGCTGCAGTACCAGTCAACGGTGGTCCAGCCCACAAAGAGGAGGCAGAGAAGGAGCAGTCCTCAGGCAGCAAAGGATTGTCTCGTTTCTTACCCGGCTGGCTCAAGAGACCCAAGTCTCAGATTTCAGAAGAAGAGATTGGAAAGGAAACTGGAGTGGCTTCTGTCGAGGACAACACTATACAACTACAGCAACAACAACAGAATTCAGTAGAGCAAAAAGAAGAAAGAGGACAAGGGGCCCCTATTGCTGATCAGGAGTTGGATGATAATATTGAGGAAGAAGCAACTTTAGATTTACATTCCCTGAGTAGTGTTGAGACGCAGGTAACAAGTGTTTCTGTCATTTAATCCATTCTTAGGTGGATGATGATCACGTGGTGGGAAACTTGTATTCATTGCTTTCAGTTTGTTGATTTAAGATTGACATCTATTGTTTTCAAAAGCGGTTCTATGTCCCAAGGGAAGCCTTACAATAGTAACATACAGAGCTTGGAAGAAACATACATCATTCTGAAAGGTGTTGCTAGAAACAAAAAAAAATCCTCTCTTTTGGTTTATAAGTTTTTAGCTGAAGCACTGTGATTTTGAAGTAAGTGTCAATGCTCCCAAAAGCTATCCAAATGGATAATAGTTATCAAAATTACTAAAAACTTACAATGTAATTGTAAATAACAAAAGAAATCTGCCATATTATTATTTCTTACAGCAGTTCCTCCTGTTTACGATTTAACTATTTCGCTTTTTCTTCCAAATTGATCTACTATACAAGAAAAGCTCCTACTGTCCTTTTTGAAGATATGTGCATGTTTCAGAAAATTGGTTTTCAAGTCTTATTTTGATTCTCAGTTATCAGAAAATTAGAATGTACACATGTACAATGCAATCGTTGATGGATGTGACTTGTTTTTGATTTGAATTAGTGGTTTACTTTCTGATTTCAAGAACAAAAAGAGCAACTTCTGGATAGAAAATGTTTTTTTTCACCAGCTATTTCCCAGAATATGTTGAGTTGTTTTTGCGTCAAAATATTATGTTGTGGGTCAGTTGGAGTTTCATCTGTAAATGATATTTGGAAAACAGTCAACTTTCTAAAAATGTCCATTTTTAGAGTTCCATTTAACTTGGTCAAAGCCCTAGGGTCTGTCCATTTTTTGTATTCAGTTTTTCTTGTTTAAATTATGTCTGCAGAAATTCGGAAACAACTGTTTTTAACACAGTTGCCACATTGGTGGACAAATCTTAAAACAGAACACTACTGGTTGTTGATTGCTGTTTGAAATATATTTACATGAATAGCAACATAGTCTTCTGAACTTTATTTATTCACAGCCAGCAAGGTTCCACGGTATGTGACCATCTGTGTGAAGAGTCTTGATGTTTGCAGTCTAATTTTCAACAATCTTTCACCAGAGGCTTGCACTTCATTAAGTGTTTAATATATTTTGATCAAATGGATTAATATAATGAAATTATGGTATGACTGAAATTGAAATTTAAATTAAAAGTTAGCAAAGATCAATTTGCATTCAGGTGATCCCAGATCTCTCTCTCAGATGACCTCATATACTTGTAATATTAATTACCTTGCCAATTCTCCAGCTGTTCAATGGAAAGTGAATTTGTTAGAATAATTCAATCCAAAAACATTCAGACTTGTAAATTGTTGGTATGCAAATGTTTGAGTTTTTCAAAATTCATTCACTGGTTGTAGGCAATGGTTTGTTGCCATTCCTAATTTCCTTTGAGAAGATGGTGGTGAACTGTGAACTCTTTGGTGTAGGGACACCCATAGTGATGTTAGGAAGGGAGTACTATAATTTTGAGCCAGCTATAGTGAAGGAATGGTTCAAAGTTGGGATTGTGTATGGCTTGGAGGGGCATTTTCAGGTAGTGGTGTTTTCAGACTTGTTCAAACTTGTAAAATGTGATAAATAAATGTTTAGTCATTTAAATGAGTACAGTTTAATTTTATTTAGTATTTTAGAATGATGGATGCGTGGAGTATAAAATTTAACTTGCTACCTCCTGAGAAGAACGTTTTGTAGCAAACTTAGAATCACAAGTTTGTTCACTGTCATTAATAACATGAGCAGGTTTTGGAGTCTGACAGTCAATGAATCATTCATATATTGCCAAACTTCTGCCCCGCAGCCTAAGATGGTGTAACAGTGATGCCAGGACCAAATTACTGCAGATGCTGGAATCTGTACTGAAGACAACAAATGCTGGAGCTTCCTGCTCGCATGTGCAGGTGTCCGTCCTCTGCATGCTGCAGTGTTCCAGTGAATCACAGCGCAAACTGTAGGAACAACATCTCAACTTTTGACAAGGCACTTTTTTACAGCCTTCTGGACTTAATTTTGAATTCAACACCTTCAAATTGTGAAGCTTTACTTGTTACGTTGTGTTATCATGTTCTCTCTCCCCTCACCCCACACCAGTGGGGCTGTCTGTCCTTTCAAGTCTGGCAGGAGACATGCCATTTGTTCTGCCATTCTTACATTCCAATCACTTTTTTTATCTGAACTATCAACATCTTTTCTCCACCAGCACCCCATGCCCACTATCCCCGCAACCACCTCCCCTAAACTGTAGCATAAACTCTGTCCCCTCCCCACTTCACTTCAGCTCTGATGAAGAGTCATCTAGACTCGAAATGTTAGCTTGCTTTCTCTCCATCGATGCTGTCTGACCCGCTGTGATCTCCAGCATTTGTTGTTGTCAGTAACAGTGACGCCAGATTAATTTGTTTTATTTTCTGGCCACATCACACTTTGCAACCAGACAGATGCTACAACAGTAAGATATTCTCTAGGGTTTGGAAATCTGCTGAATAAAATATTTAATTTTGTATAAAATTATGTCTTAACAGTTTTGTTGAAACTAAAAGATGGATATTTGGCTACGTGTGTGATGATGTCAATCAGTTCTCAACTGTCTAAAAGTTATTTACTGTTATCAAGATAAGGACAGATCTTATTCTATACATAGAATGCCACACATTAAAACTCAGATTACTAGATTATACTTTCAGTTTGTTTAAAACCTGATACAGATCCATATTCATCATAGTTCTGTATAAGTCGCTCAAAGAAATTGGATTCAGTGCAATGCAGTGAAATCGAAAAATTCAGTGGAGAGCACTTGCTTTCTAAATATTCATTGCTATTACAGATTTATGGTGATGCTTTCTGTCAACATTTTTACTCCTGTAATTCTACATGTAATCAGCAGTTTTCAAGCAATTTTTGAAGTTAGTTGGCCCTTGTAGGATGAAATGCTAATGTTCTTTTCCTAGCTTAGTTGCAACTGAGTTTATAAACTATGCTTGTATTTTCAAACATGATGTCTTCAGCATGAATTGTGAAAATATGTTTGCTGACTAGATTGTGTTTTGTGTTTGATTTTGACTTGTAGCCAGCACAAGAAGAGAAAGAAGATTTTGTTCCAGAGAAAGATCCAGTGATTAAGGATGAAGTAAAGCTAGAAACTCCTGAGGAGAAACAAGGTCAAAGTACAGGGCTAAAAACCAGTGAAGTTTCAAAACCACCTCTGAAGATTACCAAAAAACCTAAAACCATGCACTGCAAGGTGACTCTATTGGATGAAACTGAATTTCAGTGTGATGTTGAGGTAAGAATATTGCACTCATTCCAGCATTCAATATTTTCTGTGTAACCTTTAACTATTGATAAAAATTCTAGCAGTTAGCTTGGAGGAAATTCAGTACAAACCCACGTGCCGTATAATTTACAAGTCTATATGAAAAGTAACTAAGCAATAGCATTTTACTTTTGTGTGTGTGTGTGTGTGTCTGTGTGTGTATATAGTATATATACACCCACCTCCTCTTTGGTCCTCATGCACCATTTCCCTACTGAGAGGATGGGAAGGGAACTTGCCTCCAGGTATTTGTCTTTTGCACCATTTAACCAGCTACTAGGTGTGCAAGGACACTCTGGGGTAATCTGTCTAACCTTTTCTTTCATCTCTGCACAAAAGCCTTTGAATCTTTGCTGCTACTAATTGGTAATCCTTAACAGTTTGTAATTGATATAGGTGAGGTTGCAAGTTCATCTCTCTGTATGATGCAGTGCTTTGTCAGTTCTGGTTTGGAACACCCAGCCTGCTTTGTCAGTGGGTTCACCTAAATTGTTTTTATTGAAAGACACAAGCAAACCACAATGCTTGTAATGTGGAATACCATCATGGTTTCAGAAAAAAAAATGCTTGGGAATGGGCTAACTTAAAGCCAGAGGAATTTCAAGCTTGGATTCTGAACAGGAAGGGGTTCCTGAATTTGTCACGACTACTTTATAGCTTTGTGATTCTTGGAAATAATGAGTTATGGTAGAATTAAGCGGTTTAGTGATTTGTTTGTAAAAATCATTTTTCAGTATTGCATACTTGTTTGGTATTTTACATAATGCAGGTGAATAACCAGAATTAATTTATCTTGATTGTATCCAGGATAGAGTAGAGTGGTTTATGTTATTATTGGATTTGCAGTATTATATTATTCATAACAATACCAGTCTTCTGAAATTAAATTTCCTCCTAGTTTCCTGTGGATGCAAGACCCCAGAGCTGAACTGCCCACAAAGTGCAAAATAAATGCTTGAAGTGATCCTGGCATGGCCTAACAGTGGATCCTATTGAACTGTTGTTAGCCAGGAGGTGCATTGATTCTGCCAGTTGATGGGAGCCAGTGTTTAAATGCAATAGCTTAATGCCAATGCAAATAAATGTCCAGATCACCAAAATACGTTTCATAGTTATAGTGATAAGATATTTTCATTTGCAGATGTGTTTTTGTGAGAATGAGATCTCTACTAGTGCTGTCACTAGGCTCATTCAAAAAATCTGTTAAATTTTCTGAAATTGTTATAGTATTTCCAAAGGCTCCAACTATCAGGGTTTTGCTCCAGCATTTTGTAACTCAAAATGCCTTTAAGCATTTAATGGAACAAAATCTGTTTTTAAAAAAAAACTGAACAAAACAATCCTAGTGGCAACATTCATAATTATACTGTAGCAATGCATGTGCAGTACTTAGTAACATGGCTCTTGTGAGTTTTAACATTTGAGATTTAAAATTGTTTAAGTCAATACGTACAATACCACAAACTGACAATTTTAGAGAATATTCACAAATTTTTTTATTGCAGAGACATTCCAAGGGACACGAACTCTTTACCAAAGTGTGCCAGCATCTTAACCTGCTGGAGAAGGACTATTTTGGTCTGGTCACTTGGGATTCAACAAATCAGAGAGTAAGTGCATTTAGTTTGTTTGCAAACATGAGGGAAATTGGTCACACCATTTGTTTCTATAAGGCAGTTGTCCAATGCCATGTGATATAACAACTGCATTCAAAATCATATTTTATTATTTCACTACCTTCAGAATTAGATTAATTGCTCATCTTAATTAACACATTATTTGTTAGTGGGCAGTATTCAGCTTTGAGTTGTAGCAATGTAGAAAACACCATGGAATGCTGGGCTTGTATGAAATTAGAGTGTTGAGATTGCCTCATTCTTGGCTGCATTGATGCTACAGCTGTAAGGCAAGAGATATGTTGAAAGTATGAAAAGGAACTTTTTCTTGGAAGCAGCTATTTCCCTGTGCTTCATATGATTGCAGAAGAACAAGCTTGGCTAATTATCCTAATTCGGGAAAGAAAAGGATGGAAATTAAAAGCCAGGTCTGAAAATAAGACAAATAGATTTTCTTTTAAGAAGTAGTGACCCTACAATATACCTTTGGGTCCAACAGGTCATCTGGACCCCTCAGTAGTTTAGTTGAAATAGGCGCAAGGACCTTGAAGGAGTTATCAACAAACAAACATTTTGCTTTGATGTATAGATTACACCATAGAAGGGAGCCATTAGGTCTATTGTGCCTGTACCAACTCTTGAAAGGATAATCCAATTAACCCACTTGCCTATTCTTTTCTCATTGTTTAGCAAATCTTTCTTCCTTTTTTTGAAATCCCCTTCCTCATGGCAACATATGGCAAATCAGAGCAACTCACTGCATAAAAACACAATAATAATAAAACTCACATGGTTTTGAGCACATATTCCCAATACCCCATTAACTCTCTCTGCTCTAACTGTTCTACTGCTGCATCTAGGCAGCATTGTAGTGAATCTGTTCTCTGCCACCTCGAACATTCTGATATCCTTCCTATAGTCTGGTGGCTAGAATTAAATATTCCAACTGTGGTCTAAGTAGTGATTTATTGATATTTAGAATAACAATGCTGCATATTCTGTTGGCTTACCTTGTATTCTGTTATTAGTTATTTGCAGAAATATTATTAATTGTTCCCTTTAGAGTGAAAGTATTACCGAAAAGCTAATAAAATATGAAGTACATCTCAAGAACTTGATTAAAAGGAAGGTCACATACACACAGTTTCACAGAGAAACAAGTTAAAGACAAATAAAAGTTTCACAATCCTATATTATGAAACAAATTTTTTACTTATCACAACTTCTCATCATACAATGTTCATCACAAAGCAGTCCTCAAAATAAATCTTGCAACTTTGTATGGCTCACTGATGAGACCACATTTCAAATTCTATGTGCGGTTTTGGTCACTATACCTTCAAACAGATGTGCAGAGAGAAATTAGCACAGTTACAGATCCTGTTGCTGGTGGCAAGACATGCAGAGTGAAAGCAATGTTAATGAGCATACAGATACAAATAAATTGTTGAATTTGATATGGATGCATATCTAGATTGCCCACGTTTGAAATTAACCAAGTTCATGTGAAACAGAATTAGGTTTGCAAGGATGCAATCCATCTACTTATACACACATTAAAATAAAATCTAAATTCAGCATCCAGCTCCTTTTTTGAAGGGGTTAAGTAATTTGATTAGAAATAAAATCATATTAAATGAAGATGGTTATTTATTTGAGAGGATGCAATATTGGTCTGGGCATGATTGTTCTATGCTGATAGGACAGAGGTGTTGAGTGTTGTTGACAGAGTCAATGCAATAAAAGGAATTACATGAATTTTGTGAAGATTTATTTGATTTTTAGAGGGTAACTCATTTATGCAGGACTCTCCTTGAGAATAAACAGGTGGAGTATGCTTTATGATGCATTTGATTGTTTGTTTACCTTCATTGGAAGAGTGGGGTTTATTAGTCTAATTTGTCCTCATTTCATCATTCACCGTGTTAGGTATTTAGAATGTTTAGAAGAAAATGCTGCATTCTTTTACAGTTTAAAGCACTGTTTGCTGAGGTTCCATGTTAAGTAGTTAATAAATTTTATGTATTCGTTTGTCAGATGGGTAACTGGATGGAAGAGTAAGCACCTTTTACAGGTCTGAAATTCAGCCAGTAGTTTGAGGTTCATGGGACACCATTGAAGTTGTTAGATGAGCTATAGATGGCGAATAAAGGTCAATAAACAGACCAACTACCTGATGTCAAACGTAATTACCATTCTCTTTTGTTTCTGCATCAATTTTTCTGTCCTTACAGGGCTGCAGCTTCACACACTGCAGATCCTATCCTCACCGACAATTATTCATTGCTGATTTTTACAGACTATTCATTTTTCTGGGAACGTATAACAGCTGAGCCAACATACATATACATGTGCACTTGAAGGAGGGGTCACTGAATTTTTATTGTGTATGAATAGCAAACAGAGGTTGTACCTAGCTGGCATCTGATCCTAAACTGATTTTATTTTTGCTTTAAACACCAATTATTATGTTAGCTTTGGCAGTAGTCTTCAAGTGTAAAGTTAAATCTTGGATTTCATTCGTCTTGAAACTTGACTGGGGAGCTCAGAAATAGATAGAGGGAGGAGGTTGGAGTTGGAGTTGGAGAGTAAGTGAGATGGAGATAGGTGGATGCAGATAGGGGGCTATTGTGGTTGGTTATTTGGAAGGTGGAGCAGATGGGTGAGTCAGAAGATGGACAAGTTGGGGGAGGGAGAGGTTTTGAAGCTGGTGAAGTCAATATTCAGGCCATGAACTGTAAGCGCCTCCCCTGTCAGAATGAGGCTAAACGTAAACTGGAAGAACAACACCTCATATTTCACCTTGGGAGCTCATAGCCCAATGGCCTGAATGTTGACTTCACCAGCTTCAAAATTTCTCGTCCTCCCACCTGTTTATTTCTGGACACCCCTCCCCCTCACCAGTCCTGTCGAAGGGTTTTGGCCTTAACCATTGACTTTCCTGCTCCTTGGATGCTGTATGATCAGCTGTGCTTTTAGAATTTGTATTTGGAGGCAAGTCTATTTCGTAAAAATATTTTGGCATCCTATCAGTATTTTCACTCTGCAGTTTTTGAACATTTTGATAGTATCCTATATTAGCAGTTTTCATATGTTTGCACATTCTGCAAGTTACAGACCAAAATAGGCAGATTACTGCATAGGTTAGCAAATACATGCTATTGCATTATACAGATAATGTAAGGACTGAACATGGGACACAGATCCTTGTTTGGAAATTTAACACTTGCATTCAGCTTCTTACTTTCTGTAAGAGCAAATATTCACTTAATGGATTGCACAAAGTTTATGTTTCCAGTCAATCAATCTTTTGCATATTGTGTCGATTATAAATCACTTGAAATATATGAACACATTTAACTTTGCATTGGTTGAGTTAACATTGAGATTGTTCAAAAGATTGTTATTGAACAGATCTCCAGGTTTGTTCATCCACCCTAAATAGCAGGACCCATTATTTTTCTCATTTAGTTAAAAGTGATTTAGTTGGAAGTGTGTGTAGCCTTAATGATGTAGGTTTTTCTTACAGCATCGAAACACTTAAGTTTAAAAATCACGAGAATCCTTCAGAAGTGATTTACTTCAGGAACAGCAGTTTGTAAGGTTGAGTTCAGTCTTTGGTTCATTAGATGTTTAAGGGTAAAAGAGCCATCAATTACTAAACACTTTGCATTGTTTGTAGGATTAGACAGCAGAATGTGATCTGAATAGCTGAGTGCCTCCACAATCTTTAGTGAATATGCACTGAGATATTATTTGTCGTAAGTCAAAGGTTTCTGTTGTGTTACCTGATTTAACTTGTTTTTATATTAACTATATTCAATAGAGAGAATTAATTAAGAGAAAGAAATGCTTCCATGTTCGAAAATAGAAGCTGTAGTTCCTCAAGACCCAGTGCAGCTTATCGCTAGAACTAATCAAATGGATAATTGATCTGTTATCCATATCATAAAACGTTCATATTATTTAATAGCAGAAAGATAAAAGATTTCACTCTGAAAGTAAACAACTCCTATTTATACAGCACGTTCAATATCTTGAAACATCCCAAGGCACTTCACAGGAGTATGATAAAATAAAGCCTGACATTGTGATTCGTAATGCGATAATGATTTGATCTAAGCTAAAAAAAAAAATCATATCCTAAAAGAGATGAGGAAAATAGGGAAGTGTTAGGAAAGAATTGCAGAGCTTGGAGCTGGGGCATTCGAAAGTGTGCCATCGTGGAGTAATTATAATTGTGGATGCTGAATAGGCATTAGAGGAGTACACATCTCAGGAGCAGATTATAGAGATGTTGAAGGGTTTGAAAAGAGGATGAGAATTTTGAAGTCAAGGCATTGCTTGACCAGGAACAATTGTACGCAATGGGACTTGCTGCAAGTTAAGACTGCTATGACTCCGATGGGAAGAGTGTGCTAGATATAAAGCCCTACTATTCCACTTGTCATCACACGTGAAATGTGACCACTTTAATCACCTAGGATGGTTGATCTGCCTGATTGTGACCATTGTTCAATATTTAAAAAAAGCTTACATTCTGTCTCATTCATGAACAAGGAAATGAAACATATTTATAATAACAAACATATCCAATAAGATGTGGCAAAAACAGCTGATTAACTATTAATATGCAAAGTTAAGTGATACGTCTGGTTAAATTCAAAGACACACGTGCACACTGTCTATCTATCTGTCTGTCTATCTATCTATCTATCTGTCTCTCTTGCTCTCTCGCACTCTCAAATAGAATGGAAAAGACAGACAAGGCAAATGGTTTTCAGGAATATTGTGGATGGAACGTTGTAGCTAAAATGAACAACTAAAATGAATAAAACGAGTGGCACGATGGCCAGGTGATTAGCGCTGCTGCCACACGAAGCTAGGGACCTGGGTTCTATTCGAAGAAGGATGACTGTTTCGAGTTTCCACATTCTGTCCAGGCCTGCGTTGGTCAGTTGATTTGGCCGTGCTAAATTTCCCCGTGGTGTCCA